GAGGCCAGATATTGCAGAGGAGAAACTAATGACATTTTCCGATTTGTGCATCTTAAGTGGAGGAAAAGTATTCAGCTTATCAAGATGCGCACCAACAATGGCATGTGGTTGCCCAAACTTCCGTTGCAAGGTGGCCAGTGCATCCTTGTACATAACGCCACTGTAACTAAACTCCGCAATTGCGGTTTTTGCTTTGCCTGTGACGAGCGTTTTTAAGTATGTCAGTTTCGTATCATCGGTGAGAACAGCGGAATCAACGGTGGACTTAAACTGACCAAACCATTCGTGCCAGTTTAACGGGTTGCCGTCAAACTGGGCTAACTTCCATTCAGGAAGATGATCTTTGCGGCTATGCATCAATAATTCCGCCAATTCACGAGCGGAGAGAGGTCGATCCGATGAACAACCTTGGTTCGGATAAGCGGGAGACGGTGCGTAGTCTTCGTTGACTGGCTGATAACCAGTATTAGTTTGATTGACAAAATGCGGAACATGTTGTGGATGAACTGGGGGAGTATTAAAATACACAGTCCCACCACTAGTATACGGAGCGGCGGTGTTACACGATGGGACAATAGTTGTCACATTAGAAAAAATGTTTCCAGCATTACAACACTGAGCAGGCGTGACGATTGGAGTTGTAGCAGCCAATTGCCATAAGTTTGCATCACTTGTGTAGTAATCGTTGATACTAGGTGACACAGTATGCGGAACAAAGGGAAGATTATGTTGCGTCTGGACTGGCGCTGCATGGCAATTAGGTGCCGAAAAGAAAACCGGCGTTGGGTTTACTCCAGAAGATGAGAAACCACCACCAGCAAATGCAGGCGACAAAGAAACAAAACCAGAACCTGGTTGGGCCGGTAACATTGGGACAAGTAATGATTCCGGTTGCGCGATGGCAAAACTACCATTAGTTATGTTTGAACTCATGGTCTGTAAAGGAACAGCAGACGGCGGTGACACGTGTGCACTAGAATGCATATTGTTAACTGGGAATGGAACAGAGGCTGGGAATGAAACAGAAGCTTGCAATGGCAAACGGCTTGCCCAGCCAAATTGAGGCATAGCCCGATGTCCATAACTATGGATTCCAGGGTCACTAAATGCTGTGTGCTCATGGTTATGACTATTACTGGTGTGAATTGCATTAGCAAGGAGGGCGGAAGTCGTCGGTCCTGACGAAATGGGTACATGAGTGAAGGCCTGCAAACCTGGCGCACTAGCAACGTCGGGAGGTGCCTGTGAACTAACAGAGTCTACCCAATCATTAGTTCGATCGGTTGCTACCTTTGAAATAGGTTGACTTACTCCTGTTAAGTTACTTTCCGCTACCTTCTCGCTAACCTCAGATGAACTGTCCTCAAGTTCAAACGCTTTCAATTCCATTTCAATTAGTTGCTTTTTATGATTTTCAGACAATTGCTCTAGTTCCAGCTGACTTTGTTCGAACTTAAGACGGTTCTCTTGCTCTTTAAGTCTTAAAGATACTTGATACTGCTTTTCCAGCTCCTCATGGCGTCGTTTTACTAAAGCTAACTCATGCCGTTTCTCACTTGATGACATAGTGCGAACAGTCGACGTATGACGAGTGGAAGCAGATTTATCAGATTTATGTGAGTCAAGCTTTCTACTATCCTTAGACTTATTAGAGACCTTAGACCTGTTTTCAGATACTCGTGCTGCTGAATCACTTGTTTTGTGCGAGCGTGAGGATGTCTCAGACCTAGTTTGTTGTAAAGATCCCTTGCTCCCTGTAATGCCGGCTGCTGGAAATGACGAAGGTTCAAGGCTCATCTTGTAACTCTGAGCTTCGTGCATTACTTCATCGTTCATTTCGGTTACTTTCTTAAGCCAAAGGTCTTGCTGAGCAATAATTTTTTCAGGGTTTTCCGTTTTTCCCGCTAACCTAATTAATTGCTCATTGACGTCGACAGCTTTTTCCAACGCAATTTTACATTTGTAGACAGCATTATCAATTTTTGTAGTGCGACTATTATTCTCAATGTACTCAAGTAATAATGAGTGACCTTTAAGCAGCTCATTTTCTAGATTTAGACGGGTTTCGAATAACTTGCGTATCTTACTTTGGAATTTTTCGTCCATGTTTTTCACAAATTGACAAAATTCTACGGATGCTCACTTATAGAAAACAATCAATAAAATGAGATACTGTTTTGGTACGTAATCAAATTTGCATTAGTAAATCAACATTAGCTTACAAGACGGGGGAACTTGACGTCTCAAAGCTTCTACCTGAAGCCTATTTCTTATAGCTTTCCGAGCTTTGAGGGGTAAGCGGTTTCGCTTCTTACGTGTCTTAAGGATGTTAAGATTAGCGCTATAACGCCTTAGAAGGAGGAGAGTCTTTAACTCAAGGGAAGGAGGCTGGTGAAGCTCTTTGTACTTCTCAATTAGTACCTGGTCCTTAGCCTTACGCTTAGAGATAAAGTCTTTAAGGACGTTGAGAACGAGAATACCTGTTGAACCTAAACTTTCCTCTATATCCTCGGTTCCGTTCCGTCTACAGTATACGATCGCACAAATGTTTGTCCTATACCTTAATAACAAATTGACAAGTTGCTCACTACTCAGCTTGCGGTTATTGTTGCTGCGGTGCCTACTTATCGAGTTATTAATGGCGTCGTGCCAAATTACAAGGTCGTTACGGTGCGACAAGTAGTGATGAAGGTAGTACTGTATCCTTTTCTGAGAGTCCCTAGCGTTAAAGTTCAAACTTAAACCTGGCTTCGTAAAGCAAGTATCTTTGACGCGCTTCTGGGACGGAGCGGGAAGTTTTCGGAGCGCGTGATCCAAAGAACTAGCTCCTAGAATGAATACCATACACTTAGGGGACCTATGCGACGGCTTCGTTACGCTTAAGTACCAATGGGGTTGGAAAATTAAGTAGGTCGGTTGAACTCCAACAACACACACGGAGTAAACCTGAGGATGAAAGAATTCAACTTAACTCACTTAATATCACCATACCTGACCACTTAACTTTACTGTCACGCAACGAAGTCAATAATCTGACGGGCTGAAACGGCTTTGTTTTACTCGAAGCGAACTGGCTTTCAGTTTCATCAATGGTGGGTGGGGGATCAGGCAAATTGGTTAAGTTCCAACAACACACGCGGAAGAAACCTGAGGATGAAAAAACTCAACTTAATTTGCCTGATATTTCGCTACCAGACCACTTAACATAAGGTTGGTTTCATCTTACAGCACATTTTCGCAGAATTCTGGAGACGTTTTGAGGATTTTTTGTTAATTTTTTACTTTTTTCACAAAATTTTTCAGTAAATTTTGGTCAGCAGGTTCGAGTCATAAACCAATCCAAAAAACTAGTCCAGTACCTCTTGTCTATGTTCCGATTTCACTGATTAATATTCCGTTCACATATATCCAAAAATTTTTGGTATCGAGAAAAAATGTCAAGTCAGTTTGTCTATGTACCGACTGTAAGATATTTCAGTTCAACGGAACTGTCCAAAAATTTTGGGTATTGAGAAAAATTACCGGGGGCTAGCTTGCGGGAAAATTTCTCACTATGTATGACAGCGTTAATCAATTTTATAGCACAATTTGAAAGTTTTTAAAAAACTAGCCGAGTCTTACAGTTTATGTAGAATTAGGAGATTGGCTGCACCGGTTGAGGGTTGTCAAACCATGGATCTGTAACACAGGATCTGCCAACTCGTCCAGCTGGACACTTCGGCCAAATGAAACACTCGTCGTGTCTCTCGTGTTGCTGATACGGTGTCTTTTGTCGACCAGAAGGCTGGGATACTCCGATTGGCGATAATAGATCCCTAGATTCTTTAACTGGGCCCTCGAGAAAACTGGACCTCGGGACAATTGATACACTCGAGTTTCTTGTGGACCAGAAGGCTGGGATACTAGACCTGAAGGAATACTCGGCTGGAATACTCGACTGGGCCTGAAGGTTCGAAGGTACCTTGTGTCCCTCGATGAAGCTCGTGTCGTAAAGAGAAGACCTCGGTGTCCCTGTGTCCCTCGGTGAAGCTCGTGTCGTAAAGAGAAGACCTCGGTGTCCCTTGTGGGGCGCCAAAATGTGGCCGCTCTAATCTCCAAACGAAAATAAGTGAATCCGAATTCGTAAATTAATAAGATATTTATCGGTAAATCAGATATTTATCGGTAAATAACTCAGGCAATAGATAAATTTCGGTATTTTTCTATTGATCAGGACATCATACAACATTTTTAGCATCTCTCCGTTGTTGGTACAAAACGGCGCAAGCTAGCCACAAGAACCGGTCGGTAATGTCCTTGAGACAAATTGCTCTTTTTGGCGGTCAACCCTCATCAAGGCTGAACCGAATTAGAACCAAAAAACAGTTAACATAGGATGTAACCCCCGTTTTTAGTATATTAATACATGGGCAGGTGGGGGACTCGAACCTACGTCAACTGTTATTTCACACATATAATCGGCGTTAGCTTACTTTGTCTTAGTCCGCTTGGCCAACTGTGCTTATTTTATATGCATCTATACTCTTGTTTTATTCTACATTTGCATTGCAACAGGTAAGTTTTGGATATGTTTCGACTTTCTTGACAGACAAAAGTAGATCCAAAAGTTAATTGGTCAACCTCAGATTCGTTGCAAGTGACGTGACTAACAATGGGAAGGGTAAAGATTATTTCAACTCTCTAGATCACGAAAATGTGAGCTTAACTTTGAACTTAGTCTGTTATCATTTTCTTTGGCAAAAAAGGCAACCTAAAAAGCCAATGCTTCTCTGGTTATAGAAAAACTACCCGAGCTCAAATCATGAAACTAAATATACGATAACCATTGCAACAAGCCATCATTTAATAATATTATCCAACATAACAACAGATTATCACTGTTTTCTTTTGCTATTTTTACGTAATTCTGGTGTAATTTAGGTTACTCTGATTTAATTTCAGCTCCAAAATATGGAGGTTTGTTGGACATTCTTCTTAATAATCATTTTTGTGGCCTGCAGGTAGGAAGATGGACAAGAAGATGAAGCGAAACAAGGAGATCACTCTGCTCTTCTTCCTCTCCACTGTGGCTTATGTGCTCCTCTGGTTCCCAGAAGTGTCCTACGCCTTCTTCTGGCAGTGGCGGAAGATGCCCTGTCTCTATACTCAATACTTCAAGTAAGATGTACTAATTTATTACTTAAGTTTTATCACTTACCTTTATCACTTGTGAAAAAAGTATTGACTAGCCAAAACAGTTGGACCGAAATGGCAAAAGCAATTCCAGTTTCTTTGGAAAATCTAACGGGACGTATACTTGTATGCTGTGATAACTAACAATACCTCTGAGGTTTTATAGTGAAAACTGAAGTGGTTTCGAAAGAGTTTAATTAACCATAATGAAACCGTTTCTTTTCTGTTGTTAGTTTCTTACTGACTGTGTTCTTAGCCACAGGCCTGAGAGATTGACTCTCTTGGATTTGTAAAAGGTCACGTATTCTTTGACCTTGGTTTTTATAATAGAATTATATAATTTATAGATAACAATATGTATAGCACTATCAAGGTCAATATGTGATGACTATCTGATTACTGCGATAGCAGTGGCAGATGTAAGTAGCACTATCAAGGCCAATATATGAGGACTGCATAGTTACTGCAATGGCAGTAGCAGTTGCGGTACCACATACCCCCTCGATCAAGAAAATTTTTATACTATGTTATTAAAATTTTAAATAATAATGAATAGGAGTTTTAGAACTCAGTTTAAGAAGTTTTGGCTTTGTGTATTAGATAACTCATTTTCCATCTCTCTCTTCATGTTCCTCTTCCAACTGTAACGGGATTCTCCACTCGGCGTTCCATGAACGGGTTATGTCTAGCGCTTCGCTGCCAAACTTTCTCCTAAATAGATGTTTTTCCAGCAGACCAAATTTTGTCTCCACCGAATTAGAAGCACCAGGTTTAAAATTTGCAAGCTTGATTCTATATGCTTCGAGCGCGGCTTGGTTCAAGTCTAATAAGTTATTCTGGAACGAGATTGATTTCACCGAATGCTTAATCGGGTTTCCGTATCTGGATGGTATCTTTTTCGATCTCCCGCTTTTCCGCACTGATGTTTCCTCAAGTTCGGATTCGTCAGAAAACCCCGGAGGATTCATCAATTCCTCGTCGTCTCCCGCATCCTCTCTCGAATGCAGTATCTCTGCCGCCGCGCGCTGAACTCCTCGTTCAAGTACTTGATCCGCTAATCGATTCCAGTCATTCGCCGATAAGTCCTTACTATTGAAAGTGTCGAGGATTGTTTCCGCAGATGTAGTGCGTGTAATTTCTTTCTTGTTCTTGATAGTGTTCGACGAACATGCGTGGTCTGGCGCCTTCGGTTCGTTTACTTCTGCTGCTAGCGCAGCACCTTTATCCTGTAATATGACTTGTTGTGCGTCTTTCGTCGAGATTGGGCCCACTTTAGCCTTATTTGATTTCGAGAATGGTCCAGCCAAGTTTGGCTTCGCTCTTCGTACCGCCAAATTCAGTCCACCGCCTTGTAGGGTGTCTTTTGAAGTGATCACCGTTGGGCTATCCTGAAATTTTTCCTTCGCTGCACCTGGCTGTTCTAGCAATAAGTCTTCATCCGACTGACTCAATTCAGCCTCAACTTGTTCGTCTGATTGTCGCCTCGATTGCCTCTGTTGTTTTTTCTTAGGCTCTTCTCCCGATGGGGATCGTCTATTGTTGTTTTTCTCCTTATCGTGCACCGCAACCTTAACCTTTGCAATATCGCTTTTCCGGTAAATGGACCCTGCAGCCGTCTTAATTGTGGAAGGCGTTTCGGCTACGACCCTTCCCTTTAGAGGTTTCGTGAGGGCCTTACCGCTCTTCCTCCCATCGTCTTTTCGTATCAGGATTGGTGACGACTGACGTTGCTGTGAAATGGCCTCCGGTTTATCTTCAACGAACCCCCGCTCCCACGAGTATAGCATTTCTTTGCGTAGCTCGGGATTAATGGTACTCGTCTCATCCACAGTACGCTTTAGGTCGTTGGCCGAAGTATCACGTCGAGTCTGGTTCCATCTTGCATTGGCCTCCAGAAGCTCTTTTAGGGCCCGCGCTCTTTCTCGATCCTTTGCCGAGACGACTTGCTCTTTGAATAATGGACTCACATCTCGGCTGTTTTGTCCCTTCCGGACAATCTTTAAGTTGTCACGAGATTGGTCGATTCTCTTTTTGAGTTGCGAAGCCGTCAAGGCGGAGCGCTCCAGATGTTCCTTATCTAAACGATCAGAGTTTTGTAAGAACCTATCACTGAGAATTTTAAATTCTGTTTTTGGCAATCGCCCAAAGTGCGCTTCAAATGGCGACATTTGAATTGTCTTCTGTTTTATCCAACGAAGGTCGCGAAGTATCGTACTCAAGCACAATTTTATCGACGTTACATTTTCATCGAGTAACATTACTCCCAACCTTCTCTTGATGGTTTGTATAGTGCGTTCTACTAAGCCGCATCCGCGATGGTCGCCAACTGGACAGAATTTTTGTTCAATGTTATTGTCGGAGCAAAATTTTTTCATTGCTTTGCCCTTGAACCCGGAAAATTGATCCGTTCTAATTGATTCAGGTATTCCATGTATATCAATATATGAGCGAAGAAATTTTATTGACGACTTGCCCCCTGTTGATTTAGTGATTTTTACTGAAGGAAATTTAGAATACCTATCTATTGCTACCAACAGATAAATTTTTTTTCCTTTGAAATCTTCAAGCGGGCCAGCATAGTCTAATTGAATTCCTTGACCTGGCTGCGTGAGCAGCGGCAGAGGCTTCGTAGCGTTTTTTGGTATGATGTATTTTGCATTCTTACCATAGCGGGTGCAACTTCTGCATTCCTCTGCAAGGTTGACGATATCCTTGTGCATGTGCGGCCACCACAGGTACCTTGACACATCTAGCATCGCTTCCTGGCCTGGGTGACCGCGGTGAATTCTCTTTAGGACTGCCAAACGCAATTGTTCCGGGACAGCTAATCTGTTGTCAACCAGGATGCAGTCGTCCACAACTGAGAGTTGGTGCCAGAGAGGGTTGGTATATGGACCCATCAGCTCGAAGCTGTGTCGATCGTTCCTCTCAATGACCCGCCGCAGCCTGTCCATCCAGGCGTCTTCTGATATCAGCTCCACTAATAGGCTTCTATCAAATAGTTTGTTTAGGTTGTCCAGACTGATATCTGTACGCACGTTATTTTGATCTGGTTTGCCTTTCCTGGAAGCGTGACATGTCTTTTCCTTTTTAATTAAGCTGACTTCTGGGCTTTCCGAAGGGCTTTCGGCTGTTAGGTCCACTTCAATAATTTGGGGGATTTCACTTTGGGTATTCAATTGTGATGACTGGTCACCTCTATTACAATCTGCCAAGGCTGTCTGTGCCTCTAATTCAAGTAGACTTGTCTGTGCCTCTAATTCAAGTAAACTTGTTGGATTGTCTGGTCTCTCTGCCCCCATGAGGTCCCAAAATGACATTAGGGTTGTTCCACTAGTTCCTGACGCCTTTCCAGATTGTATTTCTTTAAGTCCTCTAGGCTTTATCGTCTTTCTCACTGGTCTCCACTCAACTTGCGGTATATCTGAATCAGAATCGTCTGACTCCTGTCGACTGCATGCAGCGCCTTTCTTTACCATCCGTGTTCGAGAGAAGGTGGTTTCTGTTACTTGTTCCGTTAGTTGATCGTCCTCCCTCTGATTTCCGTTCTGTTTATTTTTCAACTTCTTTGATTTTCATGTTTCACTTCTTTCCATTTTTGTCGATGACGCCGTTTCCTTAGGTTCTAATTGTTTGGAGTTTAATTTATCTTTGAGTTTTGAAATATCGACCAACTGTTTCTCACGAGCTATTCTGTCCAATGTGTTTTTGTGCTTCTCAACTGTTTGAAAACTTGAGTTTTGACCGTTTTCGTTCCGGTCGAGCTTTGTCCGGTTTTGAACAAACTGGTTGTCATAGCAACCGCGTGATGAGCTGTCTTTACAGTAGTTAATTTCTCTTGATGTTCTAGAATGTTCTGGAATGTTCATAGTGCTACTTTGGTTTGTTTCACTAGACCGACTGTTTAAACAGTCGAGTGCTTTATGGAAACTTTCTATAGACGTTACTACGAATCTCTCATCCAGTTCCGATTCTGGCCACGGTTCTCCATTAGGTTCTCTTGACAAGTAGTCAACGATACCCATATCCCTTCCGGGAATATGAGTAATTTTAAATTGGAAGGGCAATAATCGGTCAACCCACCTAGTCAAACGAGATTGATACGTTTTATTTGATCTATGTTCTCCCAAAGCTGATGTCAATGCCTTGTGGTCTGTTGCTATGACAAATTCTCTCCCTAGTAGATAATGTTTGAAACGATCTACCGCCCAAACTACTGCTAATAGCTCAAGTTCATTGGTAGAATATTTTTTTTCTTGAGCATTTAAATACCGGGAAGCGAATGCGATCGGTATCCAATCGCTCTGATGAGACCATTGTTCTAAAGTAGCTCCGAGCCCACTATGACTTGCATCGCATTTTACTCTAGATTGCTTTGCTGGATCGTAATAGTTTAACAAGGCTATATTAGCAACTGCCCTTTTTATGTCCTCAAAAATTACTGAGTGTTGATCGTTCCACTCAAATTTTTTAACTGGTAACCGGACATTTTTCATCTTCTTTTTTTCATTTTCTTCTTTCAGTAGTGGTCTAAGTTTTTCAGTTAAACTAGCCGCATTTGGAATAAATTTCGCTAAGTGGTTGATGCTACCCATGAACGATCTGAGTTGCTTTAATGATTTGGGGGGTTGAAGGTTTGCAATTGCCTCCGTTTTAGTAACTTTTGGAATTATACCCTGTATTGACAAATTATGACCTAACCAGTTCACTGCGGGCTGCAGGAATTCGCATTTCGAAATTTTTAATGCGAGATTTTCGTCGTCCAACTTTTGCAACACATTGTGTACTAATTTCTCGTGCTCTTTAGCTTCCCCCTTTGAAACAATTAGGATATCATCCAAGAAGCAAAAGGTATTCTTTGCGTGGTTTAGTGTTCTATCCATCGCTTTTTGGAATTCGGCTGGCATATCTGCCAACCCGTAGAAACCTGTCAGAAATCTGTACGTACCCGTTGCATTACCCCCTATTATATTGAAATTGCATTGTTTTGCTGTTTCAGCAGTTAGTTTTATCTGGCTATAAGCATATTTCAGGTCTAACACGGTGAAAAAGAGAGAGCCTTCTGATGCTGATGTGATGATCTGGCTAACTCCATCAATCAGTTCGCCCACATTAGGCATCTGGTATTTATTTTTGTACAACTGTCTATTAATGGGTTTGGCGTCCAAGGCTAATTTAATAGAATCGTCTTTTTTACCGTGATAACAATTGGGGCAATAAAACAATCGCTTGTGCATTTGTCTAATTTCGCAATGTGTCCCTCTGTGAGCAGCTTGTCTAGTTCTGTTTGAACTTTATCCTGAATGTGTATAGGAATTCTCCTACCTTTCTCTTGAATAGGGCACAGAGGATATTTAAATTTTGTACTCACCATGTGATTTTTTGATTCCCCTTGTCTATCGAATAGATCTTTGAACTTCTTATAAAAATAAATCTTCCAACTATCTGACTGTTCGCACAGTAACACATCAAACCTGGACCTTCGTGTTGGAGCCGATTTTTGCGTGGTTTGAATTCCTAGTTTACTCTGAAGATCTAAACCTAATATGCACCGCATACGTCTCTCTGTGACCAGTAATATCGCTCCCAACACTTCCCAACCTGCCGAACGTAGATTGGCCTTTAACGCTCCTAATATTAGAATAGGTCGTTTATTATAATCCACAAACTGCGCGGACAGGTTCAGCTTTTCTGCCGGAATAAATTTTGAATTCGAAGGTCCTTCCAGAATCTGTTTCGTTGTTGCCCAATTCAGGAGTGATACTGGACTGCCAGTATCTATAGTCATATTCAAAATATGACTATCAATCTTAACCAAAGCTTTAAGTGCTTTAATTTGATGCGATTTGGGATTTATGCGAATTTCGATCTTTTCAATTTTACCCGACTTCTCCGTCAATGCTCTATTCTGACTTTTTTCGTTATTGTACGCATTTTCCGAAATCCTTTTTGTGATGTACTTTTCTATGTCCATGATGGAAGTGCACTCTTCCTCTACTGACATGATTTCAAAATCATCACATGAATCGAATGTTTGTATAAGATTGCACTCTTCCCCCGAACTCGAATCTTCATTTGCAATTTCGTTAATTTGTTGAGACCTACACATTTTAGCGAAGTGATTAGGTTTGTTACAATTTTTACATGTTTTGCCCATTGCCGGACAATTTTTTAAATGGTTCTCTACAAATGCTCTACCGCATCTCGTACATTGTTTTTGATCTCCTTTACCTTTTGGAGGTTTATTTTCGTACTGTTTTCTTCTGTTTTGATTTTGACGTCTAGGGTTATACCCTTTGTTTCCGATTGCCATAATTGGTTCTTGTTTAATCTTCATCTGTGGAGTTGTAAACAGTCCTGAGCTGTTTGTGTTTGAAGATTTTTGGAATGCTTGAGTTGTTTGTTTGCTATATTCAAACTTTAGTGCACGTTTTAACACTTCTTCTGGAGAGAATGTTTCGAAAGTCAATGTGTCTTGGAGGACAGCATTTTTCATTCTTGAGATGAATAAATCTCGTACCAATTCTTCTTCCAACGCTCCCAATTCAGCCTTTGCTGCTTGTGCAGTCAGTGCGGCATGAAAAGATTCCAACGTTTCATTTGATTCGTGGGATCGTGTGAACAGTTTGTATCTCTCATAGGTAATGCATTTCGTTTTCTCAAATGAGAGTTTTGCTAATCGAATTATATCGCGAAACCCTAGTTTGGATATTTCTGTGTGAGGGTTCTTTTGTATAAATTTTTTCTTCCCTTCTGCTCCTAAAGCGAGGAATAATCTCGATGTTAGCCGTTTGCCCACTTCGTGATAGAATACATTGTGTCCCACTCTAGGTCCTCTTAGTGTCCGTTCTTCATTTTCTTGAACCACTCTATCTCGAGCCAATCTGTTCCGAGTTTCTCTTTCTGCTGTCGCAATCTCATCCTCATTTTGTGCTGGTGTTTCAGGAGTTGGTAAAGGTTCTTCTAATACCGGTTTGGGTTCTTGTAACATTATTTCTGGATCCACATTCTCTTTAACTGTAACAGCTAATAGGAACTGGTCAAGCCACGTTTCAAAACTCCAAGGTGGGTCTGAATTTGCGGATGCCCAAAATACTGGGATTCCTAGATCAGTCCTATTATCCTGAGCAGTGAAACCGGATCCTGCTGGCTGCGCCATGTGATAACTAACAATACCTCTGAGGTTTTATAGTGAAAACTGAAGTGGTTTCGAAAGAGTTTAATTAACCATAATGAAACCGTTTCTTTTCTGTTGTTAGTTTCTTACTGACTGTGTTCTTAGCCACAGGCCTGAGAGATTGACTCTCTTGGATTTGTAAAAGGTCACGTATTCTTTGACCTTGGTTTTTATAATAGAATTATATAATTTATAGATAACAATATGTATAGCACTATCAAGGTCAATATGTGATGACTTTCTGATTACTGCGATAGCAGTGGCAGATGTAAGTAGCACTATCAAGGCCAATATATGAGGACTGCATAGTTACTGCAATGGCAGTAGCAGTTGCGGTACCACATATGCAATTGTTCTGTTTACTAATCGTTCGAGTTTTCGTTCCACTGTTTTGCTAATAAATACTTTTTTTCACAAGTGGCCGTTTCCATAAAATCGGCTAAGTGAAGGACTGATAGTGCATCGGAAATGGAGTTATAAATAAAACGTCGAATTTGTTTTTGAAAAAATTTGATTTCCATATTTTTCCGTTGTCAGCCAAAGCGCTGACAGGGCTGTGAAGCACTAATTTTCTTAAAAAAAAACAAGCCTATTTTAAAAACTTTTTTATAGTTAGCTGGCCCAAATGTCGTAAGTTAGCATCAAAGGGGGGAACCTTTGGGCTGCCGGTTGGTTAATTCTCTGAAGTGGGGAATGGAGCCTTCTCCGCCTTCCCACCTCTCCCAACAAAATTCACCCCTGGAATCAAAATACTTTCAAAAATAAAAAAAGCTTTCATCGAAACATTCTTAATATATATTAAATAAATATTGAGAACAGAAAAAATTGCTATTTTATACAATTTGTTAAGCTTGGAAATTGTGTTAAGCTTGAATTGGCACTTAATTTTGTCCAATATAGCGCATGGAAAACATTTTTGTTAGCTCGATAGCTTTCTTTCAAAAAAGCTTTCATTTCACTGAAACTTCACGTGTTTTCTGGAAAAATCACGTGTTTACAGAAAATTGTAACTGTAGATAATTTTAATGTTTTTTTTTCAATTATCCAAAAAAGGCACATGTGACAAATGAAGCAGACGAGACCTGTAATTTTTTCAGGTTCAAATATTCATCTCGCTTTGGTTTCTTCATGGATTGGGCGAGGGAACTTCTGTTCTACATCTACAGTGTGGTGAACCCACTACTCTTCATAGGAACCCAGAAGAACTTCCATCTAATGAGTTTCAAGCAGGACTTGATGAAGAAGTTCGGCCGGAAATGGTTGGGGGTGTTTTCGGAGAGGGCTAATAACGACACATCTGCCCGAGGGGGAGCGAGTTCGAATGGAAACATAACTTCGCCGTTGTGATCCTAAATCTGTTTATTAACCCAACTCTGATGTATTCTATATGAATCATTGTTGTAAGACTAACCCTTGGCTCTTTTCCAGTTTCCCCTTCAAATTCAACTTTAAACTGCTCATTTAACAATGTCATAATGCAATGAAATTTGGCGCGATGAACAAATCGACAACTGTAAACAGATTCTTTCTTCATACTTTACCTCGTAACTTCACGCATTTAGCCGTAATAACGCGTAAAACAAACATAAACCTCGGGATTTTGAAAGGTGGAGGGAGTGAGCCCAACCCTACAATTATTATGACCAAACCTGTTTTTGAAAATTCACAAAAGTTTTTTTTCGAAATCTGTACTTTTATGAAGTCTCTATTCGAATTGTATCATGATTTGATTCAAATTAATCTCATACAAGATTTTATATGCTGTACATGTAAAGTATTTTGTGTCAAATTTGTATTTTATAAAAAGGAAACAAGACTGCTCGTATCAGGGCGAAGCCCTGAATGTTTCGACTGCCTTTTAAGGTCTTTGGAGCAGTAATAACATGGAAATTTTAAATGTAATATGATAAAATTAATTTTTTTTCTATAAGTTTTGAGGTTTTTTGTGAAAACATCACCTCACACGCCATATTAAGTACAAAGTGATAGATTTTGCTCCTATTAAAAAATCAATTATTGCATGTAACCTACCTTGAACCAATTTGGAACGATTTCTAAGACGGAATAAAATTCGCTTACGCGTTAATAGCGCGAAAAATATCGCTCGTTAGTTGTTCCAAATTGGCCAAAATGACCAAAATGGCAATCTTTAAACCCTCATAACTTTACAAAAAACAATCACAGGTGAAATATTTTTTCAAATTTAAGCTCAGGACAATAATAGTTTGCGAATGATCTGAAAAAATTTGGTTAAAAAGTCGAAATTTGCTTGAAGAAAAAAATACCCACCCGAGCACAATTATTCCGTTAATTTCGCTACGAAAGTCGGAACAAAAAAATGTGAACCGTCAAAAAAACTACATATTATAAGTTTGAATCGTTTTTGCAGAGTGGAGTTTGATAAATTTTATCACAATTTGTGAAATATATGCGAGCTGAAAGTATGCAAGGGATGGCTTATTTAAAAAATTGAAAATAGTAGAACTTTTTTCGTCAATTAAACTGATTTTCCGAGATTTCCTAATGGACGAAAAGAGCGAGAGTTATAGATCATAGGGGTGTTATGTTGTATTCATAGGGCTGATCATACGGGGTGTTATATTGTATTTCAATACCGTACGTAACTATGGTTACGTAAACCAATAGAAGTAATCTTCTACTTAGATTAGTACCCTCAATCAAGACTGATGTGTGTCATAGTTTCATTGCATTAATTAGCCTAGGCCTAGTATGCCTGTTTTCAGATATATTAATAAATAAACATACAATATATCAATCCGGATGGATGACAGTTCCCCTACTACATAAAATGAACGAAAGTTGTTTTCATCATGGAGTTATACTCCCATTTCCCTCACCTCGTCTCTTCGTTTCTATTGTTTTAGTTTTCATCATTTACCTCTCTACGGTTATCTTCATAATTCTCTGTTTGTTTCTCCACCCTACTTGAGTCACTCCCTGAAAACTTGATTACCTCATCGTAGTCTGATTGGCCCCTTGTTTTTTTCGATCCTAATGGTTGAAAGACACATCCGCGCGGTTTGCTCGGCGCTCCTGTATAGCCACGGCCCCGACTAATTCTTTGAATGTCGGTGCTTCGCGGCTGGGTGATGGCTGTGGGGTTGGCCTCCTTTTCTTTTTTTGCTCGTTCTTAATCGGAACTGGGTTTTCGAGTTTAGTTGCCAGCGGAGGGAACGGAGAGAAAGCACAAAACACTATGTTTTTTTATACTTTATAGATACCCGGTCTTCCGGGCTATGTATTATGATGCGGTTTCAGTCTTTGCACGATAGTAAGAGAATGAAAAAATTGTTTTTTGTGTGTGTGTGTGTGTGTGTGTGTGTGTGAAAATCTTTAGTTTTTTTTTGCAAAAAGTCTCGGCCGCGTTATCTAATTGGTAAATATCAATAATGATGGATTCTAAATTGAAAGCGTCATATTTTTTTGGATTCGCGGCAGTTCAATGTTGAGTTTTTTTTTGTAGTTTTGTAGGAAAAATGAGCAGAGTTTTTTTTTAAATCGAATTCATGGTTACTTTTGATTTGTTTTGCTTTTTAACTGGTAAATTGTAGATTGTTAATTATTACCAATGGAGTTCGTACAAAATTTTAATTTACAGAAACTTAGAAAAAAAAGGTTTTTTGTTTAAAAAAAGTATAAAGAAAGTACACAAATCACTGCTTTTAATATGAGTTCAACGCAACTATATAGTTCATTATCTTGAAATCACTAAAACAATGCAAATAGTCAAAATTACTACATCGCGTCATATCTTACAAGCATGATAGTTTTTTAAGAATTCCATAATGTTGAATTTATCTTTTTGGGTGAAATTAAGTAAGTATTTTCTTTTTTTTTGCGCATATTTATCAATCAAATGAGTTACAGTTCTGGACCTTTGGTTCGTAGATGTAATATTAACAGCTTTATCGAGTTATCTTTCTTACTTTGTCATTAATAAGTGTTTCTGAAGAATTTTCTAGAAACTGCTTGTTTAATCGCTCGTATGTAAATCGAGTTCAAATAACTTGTTTTCATAGTAGCATTAAGTCCTGCTACATAAACATAGCATCTCGCTACTCCAACAATCCTTGTTACAGAGTTCATGCTCTTATTTTTTGTGCTTTTTTGTGGTTCTTGGCACAGGTTCGAGGTAAGAAAATTAGATTTTGCTTCTGCCTTGAAAATCTTTTTGCAGTCATTTTCACTCAGTTTTTACCAAGTGGCTCAATTAAGTGGCTGGATAGAGTGACATCAGTTTTTTTAACAAGCGCTAAAAAGCGAGTTTATATTCAAATCGAACTCTTCAAACGGGTTTAAATTACAGTACTTGCCAAGGAATTAGAGTATAGATCCAACATTCTCAGCTTTGCATATTGCAGTAAAAAAAATCAAAGAAAGGTGGAATCCCGGTGTTAAAGTGTAATTTTTGTAACTCCACTTTTTATTAATTTTTCTGAACTGTTTTCGATTTTTGATTAAAGTTTGGTTGATAGCTGTGTGACTCTTCTGACCTTAAGTTATTTTGTAATGGTATGACTAGATTGATTCATTATTTAACAATCGTAAGAAGATTCACCTGAAAATTTTCATTATTTCCGATATAGCTCCTGACTGAGGGCTTTTATATCCCTACCTTCTATCATCAACCAGTGACTGAACAAAACATTTGGAACAAATTCAAAGAATATAGTGTAAAACACTGTTTTTTGTACACTGCTAATCAAATTCCATTTTGAAACTTGATGAGATGAGTTATGATTGATCCATTTTCAAGCTTTGGGCTAGATAACAGCAATCTTTGAGAACGTTTTAGCTATTAATTCTCGATGGCTAAAACCTTTTCAAATTCTTTTCGATATCAAATTGTCGACTCTCAGTTTTTTAAAAATTGGTGGAAATTTGGCAAAATTTGATTGTAATTAATCTGGAGCAGCTAAATTGCACTGAACATATAAAAAGGGATCCACTTTCAATTTTGCTGCAGGGTAGTAGTCTTAATGAGAAAACTTGTGCAGTGAAAATGGAATTGGACATGATGTTTAATATTGTCATCAGCAGGAAAAATTTGACACATGTTTTCCATTTTGCATCTTTCGTTGAAAGTATTCTCATCTCATGTCAACCATCTCTCTCTTCTGGTTACCTTTTTCAGTATCTTGATCACGCAAAGATGGCTGAGCTTTTGATTATAATCACTCTTTTTAATTATGATTAATTGTAATCTTTTTTAATCGACTATAATCGATTACTTCTTCATCTATTTTTCGATACAATTATAATCAAATGATTATAATCCATAATTTCTATTCAAAACTTTAATTCATTAGTTTTGCACATAAACCCACTATAATCGATTATAAATGATTATAATCCCTATTGATTGTCTATTTTGTGCTCGAAATTGCATCTAAATTGCTTATACTTTGTGGATTTTGTAGACGTTGGTGCCTATGAAAAATGAGAAAATTTTAAAAAACGTTTTCCAGTCAATTCAAATTTATAAGATTTTTTTTCCCATTTCTTCCCCATTAGAGTTGTTTTGTGATGCATATTTTAAGCTTTTTAACCATCAAAACATCAGCAAATTAATTTAATTTCATTATTGATTCAGAAGATTTATTTTTCATCTACTGCGGGGTTCTGTCCACTAATATGAAAGTACCTCTATGAAATTTTTATTTCGTGGTAAAACTTTGTCTTCACATGAACCAAATTGTTCAAGGGATCTCTATTTTGGAGATTTTCTTATTGACACAAAATTAGTAACCTCTTAGATGAAATTCAAATGTAGTTTTGAATTGACAAAGTTTTGGCAAAAAAGATATTATAATCGATTATAATCCATAATGATCAATTTTAAGGGTTTTTTGTGAGAAATGTAATCAATTATAAGCTATTGTACGAGATTATGATCTCTTGGAAAAGATCACGATTATAATCAATTATATCCTTCAAACACCTATTTTTGGTAAAGATAATCAATTATAATTGTCAAAAAAATATCATAATAATCCTTTATAATCGATTACTCAAGCCTAAACTTGGATGCGGGTTAGTAAAAAGTAGATTTTGGCGCGATAAATATTGATGAATTTGTCAAAAATCAAACCTCAAAAACAAACCGTTTAGAAATTACGTTAATGTACAAACTAAATGTACATAAAAACTGCAAGGTAATTTAAAAAAAATTGATCGAAAACACATTTTATTGTTCAATTTGCTTCAGATTTGCTTCAAAAGTAATCAAATAATTTGCCAAATCAAAATTTATTCGAAAACCATTTTGTAAAACCCACACCACAAATTCAACTTAGGTAATATTTATGTATGTCCAAATTGTTCGGATAAGATTTCATTGCAGTCACATTGTAGAGGAAGAAGTCAATTATCCGCATCTGGACGGGGGGCATGTAGTGAAATGATAC